ACCCCTATTTAATTTTTTGTAATGGCATGGTCCCTTTTCTCATCCTGAGTACCTCAAGCTGAATTTTATGTCCCATCCCACCACCACCTCTTCTTCAATTTTATCCTCACACACATGCAGCAGAAGGACTCGAAGGAACCTCAGAGATCAACCAATCCAATCCCTTGCTAATCAACCACAATCTAAATTAAATCGGTTTTGAAATGGAAAACACCGATTGTGGGAAAGACTTCTAGAAGCATTGCTTATTTGATGGCCTACAGATGAATTGGGATGATATTCTATCAATTTGTAGGCACCATGAAGAATTGTAGGCCAAATATGTCTAAGGAGCACTAGGTTGAGAAAGCTTGGCTCGAAGGCACGTCAACTAGATGTTATCTAAAAGCAGAAATATGTGCTACCTATCAGTTCTTGAAGTACGGTATCATCAGACATACTGATAATGCTACTGAGTTGGGTAATGAAATGTCGGCAAGCAAATAACCAAGCTCAGAGAGCACCAAGGACTCCACAATTCAATCTCAAAACTACATATATTGTCTTCTATTAAAGTTCTTGAAGAGTAGCACGAGGAAAGGACTATTGTCCTCTAGCCCTGCAGGTGAGTTTCCTTGGCTGGTCCTTGTGAAAACTAGTGCTGTAGATGTTTTTGAGGACAGATAGAGTGGAGTACATTCAGGATAAGCTTCATGGATAAGCAGAACTTCAGAAAAGTGGCCTCTCAATTCTCAAGTTATAATCTTTCCTCAATCTCTTGAGTTCTTAAGCCATCGCTCCTATAGTTCCCACCAGAGAATTTTGGAATTGCAACCCCAACACATCAAAATAAGCATTTCTGCTAGGACTTACTGTGAACATAAGAATGGCAAAACCAAACCAGGAGGCGCCCCAGGCATAGCTCTGCACTGCGTGCTTAATGTGTTCAAAGCAGCCCTGAGAAGGGAAAGACAAACCAATGAGATTGCTTTGAAGAGGAGCTGCCGACAGTACCAATATCCCCAAGAATCAGAGATGGTTATTCAACCAGTTCTGATTGGTTCTGGCTAACCGGTAGTGGAAAATTTGAGTAGTTTGGAGAACCAGAAAATACCACCTTTGATTGGCCCCGCCCCCATCTCTTCCCTGCCTCCCGAGTCCCAGTTAATCAGAGTCCCAGTTGATTGGCTGGGTCTTCTTTTGTTGCCTTGCACAGGAGAATGGAGCAGGTCGGGTGGAAAGGGAGATTTTGCAGTATCCTTCCCCCGGAAGTGGGATGGAAATGGGGATTTTACAGTATCCTTCCCCCTGGAGTGGGATGGAAAGGGAGATGTTGCAGTATCCTTCCCCCAGAAGTATTTATTGTATTGTATTTATTTGTCTTGCATGCCGCCCACTCCCGAAGGACTCCGGGCGGCTCACAATAGACAAGGGAAGGGGAAATAACTAGACAAAAACAACACTTTAAAAAAAACCACAACATTCACAGTTTCCGGGGGGGTGGATTTTTCCCAAACCCCCCCCCCCCCCCCCGGCCTGCTGGAGCAGCCAGGACTTGGTGGCTTTGTGGAAGGCCGGGAGGGTAGTAAGG